CGACAATAATGTTTTAGTGCGTCATCAGAAGACTACTTATTTTTAGGTGGCGGATTTACATCTGGTCAATAACTGTCTGACATTGCAAAAGAAGGTTGCATTCGACAGCAGTTGCTAATAAAGCTTTGCGTGAAAATTTTGAAAGTATGTTTTTACGGTATGAACTCTAGCTATCAGCGAAACTACGATATCAGCTTCAACGGTTAGCGGTCGAAATTCGCGGCACTTTCGAATGATCCAAACGCCAGTGTGCTGTTGGCAGGCTTTGACGCAGTAAACATTCGTTCGCGCAAATGGCGATGACCTTTGAGAACAATAACTTTTATTCAGATTCCCTTCCGCTGAAGGGGCCGCGTGACGTGATATAGTATTGTTGATGCTGCTTCTGCATTCTTTAAGCTTTGTTTTCGCAAAGTGAGGATATCGCGGAAGCGTGTTGGTTGGTTGGACTGATTGGTACTGCGCTCAGCTTATTTCTTGTTTGATTGATCTATCAATGGGGTCTGAACCAGTATTCGATCCCAACACCATATTTTCATTTATACATTTCGGGTTGACGTGATGTAATGATCCTTATTGAACGAACCACCCGATCCCCGTCCAGTCTTGCACAACTGTGAAGTTGCTGAAGACCAATTAACCGGATCTTGCGAATAACTGACGATGAACGACTATTCTGAATGAAATCGACGCCGGTGGAAATGGTATTTACTACGGATACTGACCGCTGTCTCTCGCCGAGTAAAACGAAATGGGGAGGTCGCGGAATTTGGCGCATCGACACCGGCAAATGATCATCGTACCCCTCCATATGTTGCTATTCGACTGCAATGGGGCTGGCGCTGATTCGCCTCGGTATTCCCCATGTTGCTGAAGCTGTAGGCTTTGGATGCAGGTTACAATATTAAAAGCTTCCCTTGACGCTTTGATAATGAATGCGGACTTGACTATCGAAGTGACGACATCATCATCGGTATGCCTGGGGTAACTGGACGGCTGGTGCCGATTCGCAACGGAAGATTTTACGAATCTGAGGGCGATGAACCAACTTCGTGATTGTCGTTGAACGTTCAATTCCCCACGTAGTACAATGATATTGACCATTTCTGTGTCACCGGATTGACAAAACCGGGTAAACCACTTTCCTTTCATCGAATAACTATGACTTTGTGTGATAATTCGCTGCGGAAGGTATTTGTTTGGCGGCGTTGTCTCCAGCCTTCAAAACAGCTAAACTCGTATTCAATACCAATATTTGTTTTCAATGTTTTGGAATTAATGACTGGAGGAAAAACATAAACTGTGATCCCCGTTCCCTAACCAATATTCGATCGAAAAACCGGTAACATTATTCGCCAGAAGCAATACGCGAATAATCAAAGGCGTTGAGATTATTATTGGCACGAATGATTATTAAACCGCTGATTCGTTTAACGACAAAAAGGCACACCCAATGGCACGTTGCTTTGGCGTCGAAAGAGCCCGTTGATGGTCCGAACGAAGGCGCCGCTAACAGCTGGAAACGTTTGGATACGCGCGCATGGCATACCGGAGTTAATGCGACGGTTGCTGCGATCAACTGAACGAACCGAAGGAGACGATACCTATTCAGGGCAACCACATCCGGTATCACCTGCGTGGCACTTCCTGCGATGGCGAACCAGACATCGATCGACAAACCGTCTACGAAGACTGCGGTATGTTATCTAACACCTGACGTGCCAGAATCAACCGATTGATAGCCAGGTATTCGGCGTGGCAGCGACAGGCGCGGACTTCGGCTGCCACAACGATGGTCGGCGGCAATACCGAAAGAGTTCGTGAACGTTGGCGCTGGTACCATCGCTGTCGTTGAGCGAGGTCTAATGGTGACCAATTACGGTGACTCGCTCTATTCGGGAACTGAATGCACAGCATTACTGAAGATGGCCCACCGCCGACTCTTAACAGCATCAGGAAGATCGTGTTCCAGCGCGATAACTGCTGGAAGCCTCATGCAGACCGGCCAGAACTTTCGCTTTGCCAGCACTGGCTGTCCCCAGTTTGCCAACAACCAGCGTGACGCCGCCGGTCCCCATTGATGTCGGACACTTCAATCGGAAAATCGAAAACGCCTGCATCAACCCAGCTGACGAACATTGTCTCCGAAACCAGTAACCGATACTGGCGTCATCCGACGTTTGACGGCTTCGGGCGTGTCGTAATGCCGCTCACGGCTTTACTTCGCCTGCAGAACTTGCCTCTCCCACTGATAGCAAAATGAATTTCCGGGCGCCACTGGTTGCTGTGTTGGCATGATTGTGAAATAACGATTGCTGGCTGCGCATGCCGCTGTCGACTGTCTGTGAAAGGTATCATTTGGTATTATGTTGTTTTGTTTTGAATTTGGTGATCTTTAACATGTATCGTGTGGGCTGCAGAACGGCTGAGAAAAAATGAGCTCTGGGCTATTTTATGAGCTGGCCATCAAATCCGCAACTTGATCGTGGCATGTGAAAATGCTGCAACCTCTTTTGCGTGGTTGGCGACACGCAGGCATCGCTCAGAATCTGGACACTGCTTTCCCGCGATGACTGAAGAACATGAAGATGACAATCCGTGGTGGTCACTGCTGCCGGGCGAAGTCATTCATTCTTTGAACTCCGGGAATCAGTTCGACCTGAACTGATTTCTGAAGCGACTTCTGGTATTTACTTAATATACGGGTTGACGTATGAATTGGCTGTCGTCGATACCGGCAACGGTCGACTATTCGTACGACACGATTTTAGCGATATCTGTTCCCAAAGAACTGCTAATGACTGACTTCAGCGTTAGTATTTGCCGCTTCGCTCTTTGAGTGTTGCCCTGTGCAACATGCCGGGCGTAAACGTTCGTCACGTTGCGGTACACTGGGTCAGAAGCAAAGTGAGTGAAACGAAACGCTGGCTGAAATTCTTGAAGCAATGGGGCACCCATGCGATGTGTGGAACTTCTGCGGTACGTGCATCTACGTTGAAGAAATGGTGATTGGTGTCTCGGGAGATCCCCAAAGGTGTTTGTAACGAAGTATCCCCAGCGCGGATCAGATCAATTGGCGTTGAACATAAAGGAAGGGCTGGCGGATAATAACAATGTGTGTTCGTAACTGAACGAACGCTGATCTTATCGTCTTTTACCTTATGTATTCTTGGTGTTGCTAAACATGCGATTCAATCTAAGGGTATTGATTACGTAATGACCTGCTGAAACAGGCCTGTTAAAGCTAATGACCAACAATCACAATTATCCTCTATACCATGTTTAAACACCTTGCCGAGTTGGAAAACGACAGTCGAACAAAACGTTACCATGTCATCAACATTCGATCAAAGATATCTCGGCAATGAAACCGGAACAGACCGGCGCGAAGACTTCCTGACCTCGTGCGTTGGCTTTATTTGCAGCGCAACCCATGTTATGAACCTGGAAATCGTTGATTTCGTGAAATGCTGTACCTTTTGCTGACAATTATACGATATTATTGATTAAGGCGTTATGGAAGTATCGCAAACGAGCATAGACTGAGTATCAAGCGATTATTTCAAGATCTACGATTTTTATTCTGTACATGTTGCAATGGGCGTGTAATTCGTCGAAACGAAACGGCGTTGATCGCCTGCTATCATTCACCGGTGTTAACACCGTCATCTTTAATGCTCTGCTGATGCGGACCTCCATAACAAAAGAACTCTAATGGCTGTCAGATTCCACATCAATATCTTTAAACTATTGATGTTCATATGCTCATGCTAATGGTTGTGCCCTGCCCGCCAACCCCACACCCGCCCCACGCCTCTCCAGTAGAAGTTTTGACGGCCATTATTGGCGTGGTGGCATATGTTAATATGGTTCAGGGCTGAAGAATCGGGTGGGTTGGAGATCGTTGACTGGTTATTGAAGCGTTTTGGAATTACATATCGTACGAAGATGATGTGCCGTTGCGTTACAACCGCTTCACCGCAAAGGCAGAAGTTATCTTGTTCTGATATCCGCAAAACGGTTTCTCGTTCGGTTGGCGCAGTAGGTCGAATTGCGCCGGACATCGGAACTTATTCAATGACTGGCTGACGTATTTAGAACTGTAAAGTCGGAATTTCCTTTTTGAAAATATGCTTCAAATATCTCGAAGACTACAGAGTAAAATAATAACCTGAAGTTTCGATTAATGGTTTTGGTCGACTGGTTGAGTCAGGCGCCATACAGGTGCATGTAAACTGCAAACGGCATTTTTAACGTGCTTTTCAATTTCCATTCATCATGTTCGATCGTCTGCTTTAGTGAGAACATGGGTGAAGTCATATATATCATCGCTGTGCCAAGTACTTTCCTTGACCGGAAGGCCAGAGTGAAATTAGTCCAGAGTGTTCACGGGTTTATGTGTGATTGTGTTCCCATATTTACGATACTGGAAGCGGGTACGTCTGTAGCAATTAAGCGCCCAATGTATTTTTGCAATGGTACTCCAGCACGTACATAAAGTGGTTTTAAACCCGATCCACTGACATAGAAATGGCAGTATTGGAATCCGCATGTTGATTTTTATGATAATGATTGCTCATTTAAAAACAAACAAAACACACCTATTTTCGCCACAAGGAAACCATGTCTGTACAGAGTATGTACCTGGAAATGTTTAATGTTGAATTTATTGGTGAATATGAACATTCAAAACGTCATTTTGCGTGTCTTACATCATTCAAAGGTCAATACCGGGTGCTAACCTCCGTATTTATTGACAGTAGCACTCTCCTCCTCATACCTGTCGAATTGATCATGTCCCAGATATGCTCAAAGGGTTACGATCAGGGTTCATGCAATCGTGAGATATGCCAGGGGTGCTTAGCGAAGTTCTTTGTGTATGGGAACACGATCAGACCCACTTTGCCACCGCGGTTCCCGAAACTCCCTCACAAGTGCAAATTAGCATGACTCCTTTGGCGGGGAGCGGCGAATAGCAATGCAAGGTTGAAAATGGTCAACGTCATCGTCTCCCAGTTGCGTAGATCGATGCTCATGATGTTGATAACTGGATTGTCTGGGTCGAGATTCGATTGGGTGAGACCACTTATACATGTAAGCTTGTATTGCTGAACGCAGCGTTAAATCACAAAACAAACAAACAAACAATAGAAAGTGGTCGAATACATGGTATTGTCAGCGATCGTTTTAGTTCGAATTATCATTAAAGGAAGTATTGACGCCAAACTACCAAGCAGTCATTTGACTTATAGTGCCATATGACGTGCTTTGCTGAATTTCAGTGAATCCATTCATATAAATGCCACTATTTTGCGCTTGACGTCTGGTGAAAATGCGTGGTAAAGAAAGACGTCACTGGCATTGACTTTTAATGTCATCGTACCGTTGGAGGGCTGTATGCTCACCCTAATCCTGTATGGTCCGAGAACCTTCCTGGTTGTCAGAATATCATCTCCAGGAATAGCCTCTCCTTATGAGCGGTATTTTCATTTTGTCCGAGGAACTTTCATGTTGTCAGGAAAATAGTATCTCCAGGAATATCACCTCCTTATAAGGGTATTTTCATGAGGATCGAGAACTTTCATGGTTGTCAGCCAAATAGCATCTCCAGGAATATCCCTTCCTTATAAGGGTATGTTCGCTGGTCGGGGAACTTCCATGGCTGTCCGGCTGAAGCCAGTCATCTCAGGAATGCTCTCCTTATAAAGGGGAATTATTTCTATCAGTCAAATGTATTTCAACTACATGGCTCTTGGAATCACATCCCATTTCCTGTTTGTTCCCCAGGATTTACTTAGCTGAAAGCAGCAAGCCATCAAAACCTTCAGTGGAGAGCCAGTGCAGGTAGTTTGGTAAATGATGGACGTCAAGATTCGACATCTCTCGTGGAGCATGCCCGAGTTGCCCTTGATGAAAAGACCCTGGTGGCAGAGTCGATTTGCAAGGGGCGATGGTCATGGGTGACGAGGGTCAAAGGTCACGAGTGGGGACTGCTGTCGTGAGTATGATGGAAAATTAAGTCCTCAGGGTCCCGATCCACAAAGGCGTTCGTAACGTTACGAACATTCCGTAAAGGCCTATACTTTTTTATCATGGGCTTACGAATTGGCGTACTACTATAATTTTATGGAAGGTTCCTGAAGGAAGGATGAAACTGATATAATCCTGCATAAAAATTAAGATGCTGAGTGATTCCGTGTCCAAATTATATCTATGTCGTTCACGTCTGTTATTTACGTACGCCTGGTAGCATCATTGACTTACTTTCAAGAGGCGATTAAAGAGGGATCGGGTGAGTCAGGCTCGCTGACTACTTGGGCTAGCTATCGATATGAGATCATAGCGATCGATGATCGATTAACTAAATAATCAGACGTAACTTTGATCAAAAATGCGCCAAATGTCTTAGAGAAAAGAGCGTCCTGAACAAATTTCCTGAAGCAGACCAGCAGATAACCTCCAAAATCTTTATGTTGGGAGACAAAATTCTGTCACAAAACCTAATGTATCATAAATTTTCGATGACGGTTTGCATATCAATTAATTCATTAATAATATTTCCTACCTACAATATTTCCAGTTATCGATCATTTTAGCCAGCCTACTGACTTGGTTGACACATGTCATCGTATCCCATTGCGTAATCAATGCTCATGATGTTAATCATTGGATTATCTGGTTCTGACCAAGTATTTACAGACTGCCGCCATATTGCCGAAAATTGCTCGTCCCAGGTTTGATTCCTTCATGGTCCCAATGTGTGAAGCCATTTCTTGCGTCCTCCAGTCGTGATATTTGCTAAAGACGGCGTAAAACCATACTCACTTATTCTTTAGATCAATGGTCATGCTGTTTGATCACTGGTTTATCTGGTCCACACTTGATTATTTATAGACTAGCCGTCATGCAACAAATAAAAATACAAACAAAACAAAACCATGTACATTAAATTAATTTACTGCTATACTTTCCAGCTGGGAGACTTCGCGACTTCTCGGTTGATGTGTACGAGATGAACCCCTCCACAAACCCCTCGGCACTTTCCCAAAGGTGCCATTACTATCAGGAAGCGTCACTACTCCTGGAGTAGCCCTCCCCATCCCCTGCGACAAGCGCCGTCACTGGACAGTTCCTACGTGTGTCTGGAGGTATCAACGGGACACCATGACGATCCCTTTCAGCTCTGCAGGAGTCCAGTGATTTTGGGTGCAAACATCTGGACTTACGACATGTAAGTGTACCTTGTTTTATTTATTAATTGTTTAACGCCGCACTCCAGCAACATGTAAGTGTGTCATCGTTTTGGGCTCAGGTGTTTCAGGATAGAATAGGGGCAGTCAGGTAGCCTAATTGGTTAAAAGTGTTCGGTTGTTCGAGGATCCGGATTCGATTCCACGTGGGTTACAATGTGTATGTAGCCCCTTTTCTGACGATGAAATATTGCTAAAAGTGGCATAAAGAAGTAAACTCGCACATTCCGCATAGTGGGTAGTGAGTTTTACTGCCACCACTCAGCAATATTCCAATAATACATCATGTGGCGGCGGTCTGTAAATAATCGAGTCTGGACGAAGGTCGATCAGTGATCAAGCAGCATGAGTATCGATCTGCGCAATTTGAGACCCGATGACGTAATGTCAACCAAGTCCAACGAGCCCTGAAGCCACTGATCCGTTAGTCGCCTCTTACGACAAGCATGGATTCCTTGGCTGGTGCGGGGCGGTGGGAGTAGCCCACAATTGGTTAAAGCGATCCGCTCGTCACGACGAAGGCCCGGGTTCGATTCCCCGCGTTGGATTTTACCAATTATGTGAAACCCATTTCTGGTGTCCTCCGCCGTGATATTGCTGGAATGTTGCTAAAAAATGGCGTAAAACCATACTCACTCCCACTCCACTCCACTTGGCTGGTGCATGCAACAAAAGCATTAGTCGATTCACATACTACTGGTTGTTTCGAGTACCGCCAATGGAACGGGATACGCTTACTTGGCACCATCAATGCACTCCGATTCAAGTTCGCTGACTGGATTTTGAATAGTGCAGCCGACAATATATTGTTTTTACCTTAAGATGAGGGACAGGGTTATAAAAGAACATTTTACTGAATCAAAGCTTTGAAAATCCTTTAGACCAGAAAAAAGGAATTACCTAAAGTTAACCAAATATATTTATCCATATTAGGAAAAATAACTATCAGAGGCGGACGTCGTCTCTGAATTATATTCGTACTCCCCAACATCAATCACTTCGAGACTGGAAAGTATATAATTTACTGGAAATGAAAAAGGAACGAAGAGATTATGTCGGCTTTGAACTTTACATCATATTTCAAGTCTTTTTTCGCATGAATTCAAATAGAAATTATTGGGATGAGGACAATGTATATTGTTTAGGAAGGCCGACTGGATAAATATTCATGCTCTTGGAGGCACTAGATATGTTATTTTGCTTTTAGAAGAACCTTCTATAAACTGCCGTTGAGTAACCATTGTTCATTAATGCTGCGTTGGTTCATACGTATTCGCTACAATATTATTTCCTCCACGAATTGGGGCGGCGGGGTAGCCCTAGTGGTTTCGCGTTCGCGCGTCACGTCGAACCAGGTTCGATTTCCTCATAGGTACAATGTGTGACGCCCATTTCTGGTGTCCTCCGCCAGGATATTACTGGGATATTTCTAAAAGCGGTGTAAAACTAAACTCACTCCACACTTTCGCCTCCACGAAGTTAGAACAGAAAGATGAAAGTAGGAAGAATAAACGTTTGTTTGATGATTTTGACAAAATTAAAATTCTCCATAAAGCGCAGTCTGAACTCCGTCAGAATATTCTGAATATCACAGAAGTCAGCAAGTATAACGAGCCCTTGTGAACCAAAGTATTTTGCTTATCCTTTGTGCATTTTTCCCAGGTGCATCATTGGTCCAATATGAGGGGCAAACGTTTTGAACACAGAGCCACCGAGCAGAACCATGAACATCGGCAGCAATGGCAGAGCGGCATGTGCTTCCAGTGTGAACGCAATATGGCATGCGCAGGATTCAACATCCGGTATGGGAGTCGGAGGTCACGTGTGAGCTTTTTAATGGGCAGCCATTTCGGCTCCAGGTATCCTGATGTTTCGTGGGATTGTTACTTGTATGAACCTTGTCAATCACGTGCGGGATGTAATAGTAGATGTAATGTTTTGCTGGCGTTCAAGGAAATCAGGAATATCTGCACTTTAGAATTGCGTGACTTTTAACTTCCACAATCTTATCGATCAGGATTAGTATATATGATTCCACGTATTGCCTGGCAGCGTTCGAAAAATAGCTACTGGCCCGCTAGTCAAATGCTAGTTGATTGTGAATCAGGCCAGTAATATATTGTTTAAGCTATCCCGACTGGCTAGCTGAAAATCTCAGATTCTGGCTTTGAAGAAGACAATCTGTCTGATTTAGAAATTGATGAATCAGACAATTCTGTGTATGACAGCACTTGTTTTCAAGCTTATCTTTTGCACTAGAAGTGAGCTGCACATTAGAGCAGTGTTTCCTCCCAAAAAAGACCACGCCCAGTAGTGGAACGTTTATCCCTGATTGGCTGAAAATGGGACGGGCGGGGTTTGATTTGCATTTTTAAGGCAGAACAACTTAATTGATTTGGTATCGTTGTTTCCACGAGTGGTCGTTGATATTAATGTACGTGTACATGTATTGTGCGTGTGTGCGTGTGTATTATTGTGTGGGGGATGCGTGCGTGCGCGCGTGGTGGAGATGCATTCGTGTTTTGATTAAATAAAGTGAGTCAAATATTAATCAATTTTTATTATCCAAAAACAACGCTGACCTTATATTGTATCACTTCTAAAATGTCGTTTCAAAGCCTTTAAAACAACATACTCTATAAAATTATTCAGGGTCGGTTGTATTTGGATGATGTGCGGATAATATGCACTCATGAGGCCAGAGACTGTGACTGGGTAACTGGCTGGCATGGCAAAATCCAACAATCCACCGGTCTATCTGGTCAAATCTCCGACCCCTCGTCGGGCGCATGAAATTAGTATATGCGACACGTTAAATACAAAATATCCTAAAGATAAATATTCATTCTCTAATATTTCCACATTCCACATATATCACAACTTTTTTGAAATATTACAAAAAACAATTCTAAATTATACTTTCCAAACATGAAGGTTTTAGAAGGTATGAATGACAACATACATGAAGCATGTTTCGTGTCGCATATCAGTAAGTCTTCACCTGATGTTCTTTGTCTGTTTGACGCGATACCGGTGGGAAAACTTTGGATTCTCAAAATTTAGGTTGCCCTCGCTGAAGTGAAAAGCTTATCCCTAATTGAAAACTCATTTTGCGGTGGCTTGAATCTACGGTTTCCCCTCCACATACATCTTCTGTGATTAAAGGGTAGCCTAGAGGTTAAAGCGTTCGCTCGTCACGCCAAAGACCCGGGTTCGATTCCCATTGGTATAATGTGGCCGAAGCCCATTTCTGGTGTTCCCCGCCGTTGATTATTGATGGAATATTGCTAAAAGCGGGGTAAAACTAAACTCACTTACTCACTTACACTTGTCTCAAGGAAAAACTCGTTTTCTGTCATATGGAACCTCGGATAACTCGAAGAATTGATCTTCAGTAGCCCATGCTTGTAAAGGCGACTGGCGGATCGAGGTGGTCGGGCTCGCTGACTTGTGTTGACACATGTCATCGGTTTTCCCAATTGCCTAGATCGATGCTCCTGCTGTTTATTGCAGGATTGTCTGGTGCAGACTCAATTATTTACAGACGCTGCCATATAGCTGGAATGTTGCTGGAGTGCGGCGTGTAAACTAAACTCACTCACTCACTCACTTGTTGCATGTCTATTATAAGCTGTTTTCGTTGCCTCAGCCTCAGCATTGTCGTCAGAGTATGTTACGTATAGAAGTAACAACGACACGAGATACCTGGTCCACATTACTACCGTGTTTCCCCCAGAACGCCTCTAAACACCATCACAAGGCAGGATTACCTGGGCCCCGTGTTTCCTCGCCCTCTCGACTGGGGGTCAGGCTGTCTCCACCACCCCTGGCTCGATGTCGGAGCCAGGCTGCTGTTCACCTTCGCCATATCACCTGGTAGTGGAAATCAACGACAAAGAAATGTTTTGACCGAGACATTTGGTTGGCCATTACCCATCCCACCTGTGGAGCATAAGGCTAAGTTAATGTGGTTTCTCATTTCTCTTGTGCACAGGCAGAATTAGTTAAATTCTGTTTCAACATTAACACAAAACTCGCTATCGCTAAACTGGATTTTTCTGATACCGCACGTGTTGTGCGTTGTTTTGTGTAGGTTGGTTGTTTAACGCCGCACTTAGCAATATTTCAGCTATATGGCGGCCTCTGTAAAATAATCGAGGACCAGACAATCAAGTTGATCAACAGCATGAACATTGTACGTCGTTTGGCCACATACACAGTCGGGCAGGTACCACTGTGCTCGTGAGTCTTTAATGCGTAAACGTGTCAAATCGGTATTTAAGGCGGTGTTAAGGCAAACTCACTCACTCATTCCACTCAAAACACAATATCAAAACCCAATTTAAACCGCATTTACGTAATTGCGATCAGCGTGAATTTGAGGATTCAACCCACGACCCGTGCATCGCAGTGCAGCTTAAACTGCATATAGCCCGTCCCACTTCAGAAAAAGCATTCAGATATATCAGGACACTTAAAGCCTTCACTATAACGCAGATAATATCCGAAGTGTGGTGTAAGTCTTTAAAGAAATGCCCGTCCGTAGCCAAAGGCTTTCAGGTGATGTACTCTGTCATGCGTAATTTAAGAGCGGGTAATCATATCTGCTGGTAGCTATCACAGATGGAGTCAGGTGGTACCATTTTTAAAGGTCGCGCATGGCTGCACATGATAAATGTTTTACACTGTTCCAGTATTTCCATCGAGTGTAAAGAAAAATAGAAGTTTAATGTACTATCAACCTCAAGGAAAACGGTCAAACAGTCAAATCCTTTGTGGGTAAGATACAGTATCCCGACCTAATTTCATATTCTATAAACCCTATTTTCCGAAATACGGGTATACGGGTGTACATCAAAGATACACAAGTAGACACAACGGATATAAAAATAAATTTTCATTCACAAACCATGGAAATGTGGAAAGCTCATTTTGCCCAAATGAAAATATTTTCATAATAAAGATTTCTGAGTGAGTGCGAAGTGAGTTTAGTTTACACCCAGAACTCAGCAGTATTCCAGCCATATGGCGGCGGTCTGTAAATAATCCAGATCTGGACCAGACAATCCAGTGATCAACATCCATGAGCATCGATCTGCGCAATTGGGAACCGATGACATGTGTCAACCAGAGTCAGCAGCGAAAGCCTGACCACCCGATCCCGTTTGTCGCCTCAGCATGGATTGCTGAGAGACCAATCTAAGCGGATCGCCACGGACGAATAGCATCTTGAACGACATATCTAAATGTTGTGCGCGACGAGGAGCCGATTTGTCGGATACGCTTGGTGTAAAATACAGTTTTTGTCATACGTAAATGCAAGAAAAGTTTGGCTTATTTTCTGAGAAGCCGTTGTGTTGTTTATTATGGGTTTTTATGGCCGCATTGTTCCTTTGTATGACGAGGGGTTGACTTATAAGTCTCTGATATAATGTTTTTCATGTTGTAGAATACGACTCCATGTTGATCATCATATCCGGAGAGGCCAATAAATACACTGACTGTCGGCACCAAAGACTCTGAATCTCATCACTGGAAGGTAGGCATGAGTGTTCCTGCGTGCATGGTGTGCGTGCATGCGTGAGTGTGCACGTGTGGAGTGTGCGTGATGCGTGCGTGCGTGCGTTATTGATCATGTTACCCGCGTGCACTACGCCTCATGCCACGCTTGCTCACCATATTCACCCATTTTTCATATTATTTTTATTGTTTCTTTTTGTATTTCTGATTGTTTTGTTATCATCGGTAAAAGATCTTTTCGCACAGTAAATATCTCGGAATTTCTGTACAGAGCCGCAAATGAGTTCATTTTCCACTTTAATGACTGATGTTTCCATCGCAGTTGCATGGACAACGACGCCTTCCCCAAATCACTGTAGAAGGCCAGCCGCGGGTCAGGCGGAAGTGATAAAAGGGAGATAACCCTAAAACTTCGAGCCTTCCATTTTGGCGGGAACAGATGGCGTTGGGTTCAAGTTCGTCGTCAAAGTTTGCTTGATCTGCTAATGCTGCCGATTGCGATCCGGTAGGTTCGCTGGATAAATTTCAATCATTTATTTTTGTGTGTCTAACAGACATGTTTCATTGTACATGTAAATGCTTATGGCATTAATATCGTCATGGATTGTCAATACATAACAGTGATGATTCACAGCCACACTGTCTCAATTGTATTACATCATATAGGACAAAGGGGCGGTGGGTGGAATTTAGCCTAGTGGTTTAAACATCCGCTCGTCATTTGAAGACCCGGGTTTCAGATCCTCATGGGTACAATGTGTGAGAGCCATTTCAGTGTCACCCGCCGTGATATTGCTGAAATAATATTGCTAAAAACGGCGTAAAACTAAATTCACTCACTCATACAGAAAAGGGTAACTCGGACCCTGTCTCTCCCTACGACCATGAAACTTCAACTTCCTGTATTACTTTTAATGAATATAAGTGTTGGTCCCTTTGAACGAGCTGAATTAGGATTACCTTTCGCGTCGTGAGTGAGTGAGTGGGTTTTACGCTGCTTTTTAGCAATATTCAGGAAAGGCGGCAGAAGACACCCAAACTCGGCTTCACATTGTACCCATGTGGGAATAGGCCCCGGGTCTTCGGCGTGACGAGTTAAACGCTTTAACCACGAAGCTACCCCATCGCCCCACCGCCCTGAAACAGACATATATTATTACAATCTGAGAGATATAAAACTTTTGTGAGATTTATTACGTTTAAGTGTTTCCAGCGTTATTATGTTTTCAACTGTTAAAGGTCTACGTTCTAAATGGAAGCAGCACATTATGACGAGAATACAACCATATTGTTGCTCATGCTCCATGATGTTGATCACTGGATTGTTGGTCAGACTCGATTATTTACAGACGGCAGTCATATGGCTCGAATATTGCTCGACTGCGGCGTTTAACACCAAACAAGCAAACCAACAAAACATAAACCCACACTTACACCCTAAGCGAAAATCAAAATTATTAGGTACAATTACCGACAAGCATGTGTTATGTACATAACTATACAGCGTGCACTGTAATGGTTACTGCTAAAAGTCATATCAGCAACGATTCGAAACATTCCAGGGGGGTGGGGGTGGAAGTGTGGGTGCTGTGGAAGGCCCGGGTGACACCAGAACTTTTGTGAAGAATCGTACGAAGGTGCTGGCATGACGAGCGACGATCATTACGCTACCTTTCAATACTTTGATAATAGGTCATCTTCTATAGCGCCAAGTCTCTGAAATTCACCAGTGATTGCTCCGCTGGCGCTTAATCACAATTTGGGCCCTTATTCTGAAGAACGTTCGTAGTCTCTAAAGAGTTACTTAACTTAACTCTTAGCTAATGTGTTAAGAATGGGCTTTAAGCAGTTCGTAGGGCTACGAACTGCTCTTGGAAAATAGCTGCTTACCTGATTATTAGATGCCCCCTGATAACACACAAACTGCCCGGTAGGGCGCTAGGTTATAGTCACGTGATTTTTTATCAGCCGGGTACCCATTTTCTGCTGGGTGAACAGTGGCAATTTGAAACAAACTCACTTGCGAGGTGTAAGGTAAGACCACGTGTATCACATGTGCTTCCCTACCTCCCGCTATAATGATATAGAATGTGTTTCTTGGTTAGGGATTCCATCACACATGCACGCAACAAGAAACAATCTGTTTTGCAAACAGGCAAATGTTGGACACAGACACTTCTGTTAAGCAGTGTGCAATTGTTAGAAAAATATTGTTGTACACTGTATTTACAGGTTAACTGCCCTCCCGGAAGTGCCCGGCTTTGGTCGGAGTAGAAGAAGATAATCCTGATGGTATCGATAGTTGAGGAGGGATAATCAGCATCCGGGACTCCACGTTTCCACTTCCAAACCAGGTCAGCATCTGTTCTATAGGTCTGGGTCTGGGTCTAGGTTTTAAGCTCCAGGTGAAGGTCTGGGTCTAGGAGTCTGTGATGAAGGTCTAGGCTTAGATCAAGGTGAAGGTCTGGATCTGCTGGGCCAGGTGAAGGTCTGGAGTCTAGGGTTTAAGTCTAGAGTGAAGGTCTGGGTCTAAGGGCTAGGTGAAAAGTCTGGGTCTAGGCTTAGAGTCCTAGGTGGAAGTCTGGAGTCCTAGGTGAAGCTGGGGTCTGGATCTAAGGCTAGGTGAAGGTCTGGGTTCCAGGTGAAGTTTTAGGCCTAGATCAAGGTGAAGGCCCAGGGTGTAGGTCTAGGTGAAGGTCTGGATCTCCATTTTTAAAATCTCATTAACACAAACATTTAGTAAAAATTCTGCTTCATTTGGCTCATTCATTCATCCATTCATTCATTCATTCATTCATTCATTATCCATTCATTTTAGTACCAAAAAAAAGACTTGGAATTGTTCTCCATTTTAACATATCATTAACACAAACGTTTTAAAAAATAATATTTAAAATATATGACGCTTATACTTAATTTCTTTTACCTATTTGTTATTGCTTTGTTTGGTTGTTGTTGTTCTTGTTGTTGTTTTGAAGCCTGGGGGTATGTATTTTGTAAAATTACATGGTACTGAGTTTTGTCTCGCCTACCCGCATTCTTGTAGCTGTGATGGAGATGAGAAACACAAATACTCATCAGAAGGGAAATGCCCGATGGTAACACAAGTCAATACCGAGCCTATGCCTCTTATACCATACCCAGCTTGCTGAAGACCAATTTTGTTATAATACAGTAATATTAACTTATTTTTCTTCAGGATGACAAAGGCGTGGTGTATTCAGAATGTTCGATATCGGGGAGAGATATCTGCAGCAATGATTGCCATGGCAGTCGCCTCTCTATCCTCATTCTCCTCTTGTATTGTGTTGATTGCACGTGCTGTGTCGTCACGTTTCCATAGCATATTGCATATTGATACCATTGGCACAATGTCATCAGCAGTGAAACGGTTTTGATCAACCAATTCTTCCTAGACTTATCGAAGCATGAAATCATCAAAACAAATCCTAAATAACCCCAAGTGCTTCTTGATGGGCAAGGATACAACATATCATCGAAGCCTATGAAGAACTAATCAAACTATAGACTCTATAAGCATCCAATCAGCTTGTTATTACAACTTTAATCCCCCTTGTTTTATTGGCTTCGTTCCCTAGCCGTCCCATTTGTTGTTCTTAGTCTCCACTGGCCTCCTCATAATTATGTACCAGTTAAGCTATTCAATTACATGTTGTTGTTAATGTTAATCTGCCGTTGTCAAATACATTAACCTGTGTATATATACTCCTCTACATCTTGGTTTGTATTCACTTTCTCAGCTTTGATAACGATGTAAGAATCTACATCAAAAACGTCGCTCTGTTGCAATAAATAAGAAGTTGTCATCCATAAGAGTTGTATATTCTATTTCTAAATAACCCTGTTATTAAATATTATTATATTAATCTTTGCTCACAAACCCGATAACTCAGATTTTAGTAGTAGAGACTGTATTCAACTGTAAAAGAAATGATGATCGAATTAAAAGGTTTTGTGTCATATTGTAATTAATAGTGTTTTGGTGATCCTTATAGTATTGCCTGTCAGTGAAAATAATAAAACCGTAGTTTATTTTGCAATCAAGGTTTACAAGTTAAAGATGGCGGTGGGGTAGCTCGGTGGTTAAATCGTTCGCTCGCCACCCGAAGACCGGCCTCGATTCTCACATTGGTACAATACATGTGGAGCCCATTTCTGGCGTCACCCGCCGTGATAATTGTTCGGGCTGTATATTGGCAACAGTGACTTTAAAGCGAAACTCCCCGCCTGACTGACCCTGACTGACTCACTTACCTCAATCACGCGAAGTTACGGGTTTACACTTTGATTCTTTACAGTAAAATCAAACTCAGTAACTCATATTTCCATTCCTTCTAAATGGAAGTATTTTATCTGATTATTAGGATAAATGAAAAATATTTGATAATATGAATTCAAATTTATGTCTCATTACACAAGTGTAACTCGTTGACTACGTAACTTGCACTTCAGATGCGACACCGCATAAATTCACTCCAACTCTCCTACATGTCCATTTATATGAGTTTCTCGAATTTCTTTTGGACAAGGGTCGCCCAGGAACCCGATAGCCTCAGTTACCTCCTCTTACCAAAGAAACCTCTGATTATGAGTTCCAATCCCCCAAACGCCCAGTTTCTTGGTTTGTCCACACCAGGCGGACTGGCGATGTGTGTGTGTGATCCAGAGGGGGATTCAGGGGCTTCAAACCACCACCACCACCTCTCAAAACATTCACTGGATCTTGCCCATTATTCACACACAGACACGTGCTATTGATTTCTGCAAGTAGGTAACACCTTACGGCATGTGTTACTTCGGGTTTCCTCCCCACATCAAGCGACGAAGTCACGCATGTGATAAAACTGAAATCATGTAACTGTTCATAGTATGGTATGAAGCCGGGCCTCATAGCATTCAATACAGTTGTTCTGACCTGCTGTGAAGGTCCGAGTTAGAATTCATCTCAGCAACCCATGCTTGTCGTAGAGGCGACTAACCGGATCGGGTGGTCAGGCTCGCTGACTTTGATTGACACTACGTCATCGGTTCCCAATTGCGCAGATCGATGTTCATGCTGTTGATCCCTGGATTGTCTGGTCAGACTCGATTATTTTATACAGACCGCCGCCATATAAGCTGGAATTATTGCTGAGTGCGGCGTAAAACTAAGCTCCACTCACCCAGTTCTGTTTGCGATGGTAATGATTTGGAAATTTTACGTGCGCCTCCACACATAATGCGTGTTTGGCACACAGGACCAGGCCATATAGTGTTTGATCGAAAAAGGGTGAAGTTTAGCCGAAAGATATAGCAAAATATGAAGGGGGATTAGGGTTACCTAATTAAATTTTTATGGAATGTGATGCGAGGTACCCATCTCTAATAGAATCAAGTCTCTAATGGACGGAGGTATGGTCATCGTGATGCTCTTGGAATCAGCTTCACCCCAAAATCATCTCACTCTCCCTCTCCTCACTAAATTTCTTAATTTACTCAATTGCCTCCAACGTTGCCTTTTTAAGGGCTTCTTCTTGTGTGTGTGGTTTTGTGTTTTATTATTACTAGAGGGTTCATTACGATTACATGCGTTTGATGCAATATTTCTTTTAATGAACTGGAAAAATTATCACTCCTGTTTGACCCATGAGAGGTATCAATAATCACCTCTAATTGTAACTTCTTCGACAGCCTCCACAGGGCAGAAGCTAATATCAGTAGAACCACTTACCGTTAGGTCTATCATTTGTGAGTTGTTTAACGCCGCACTCACCTCAATTCTATGGAAGCGTATTACTTTCACAGCCCTAATAGAAAATCTACGTTTAAGATACTTACATCTGCATTACAAATACTTACATCTACATAGATGATAATGGTACCTCAATATATATTATAATAATCATGCATACATGTAGAAAGTATGTTATGCATCTACAAACATGAAAGTATCTTTCACGTATAAAGTTTAAAAGCATCATCTACGTGTATGAAAGTCGCTTCTACGTATACGGAAGTATCTTTTACGTAGGTTTAAGCATCATCTGCGGGTATAAAAGTATCTTCTACGTATATGAAAGTATCGTCTACGTAGATTTAAGTATCATCTACGCATATGAAAGTATCTTCTACGTAGATGAAAGTATCTTCTACGTATATGAAAGTATCTTCCACGTAGATTGAAGTATCATCTGCGTACATGAAAGCATATTGTGCGTAGATGTCTTATCACCTAGGTAGATGAAAGTATTTCCTACGTGTACGTAGATAAAATCTCTTCTACGTAGATTTAAGTATCATCTACGCTTATGAAAGTATCTTCTACGTAGATTAAGGTATCATCTTCGAACATGAAAGTATATTGTACGCCGATGTCTCATTATCTAGGTAGATG